CTGTCTTGTTTCCCAAATGCTATTCCGTCATCCTACAGGTCAGCATTAGTTCCAGTAGTATTTGTCAACCCCTCTCTATGACCGTGTGCCAAGGTGAAATTTCCCCCACAGAGCGCATGCCGCATGAAGCGCTCAATGATCTTCCCACTTTCCTGAAGTACTCGCCCTTAAGGAAGATACCACGAAAAGAGTTATCTATTTTTTAAATTGCTCCCCTTGCTTGCCGCTTTAGTTTGGTAATGCAGTGGAGGTCCATTGACTCCATACTGCTCAATGGTTAAGGAGTGAAGCATCGGTGTTGAACACTGATGTCATGCTGTCCATGAATGATGATGAATGGTTAAGGAGCGAGCTTACTGACGGAAGGATCCATGGTCTGAACCCAACCTCTTCATCCCAACTGTTCTTGTCGAGGCTTGGGCAGCCTAGCAGTGCCTCAGCTTCCTTCGGGTGGCATGGAAGCTAGGCACCGAAAGGATGTTACACCTGAACGAACGGTTTATTGACTGCAGTTGCAAACCAAGTATAAGAGAATAGTGATAACGTTCGACGATACGCAAAGCAGTCTCGGCCACTGCACATTGAAGAATATCTTAAATTTCTCCCCGCTTTGTGGCTTTACTTTCTGTCGTAGTAAAACTTTGGAAATCGGATCCACCGATCGATCTGTTTTTTCTTGAGACAATTGCCCACCAATGAATGCCCTGGAAATTTGTAAACACAGTATTCGCAGACATTTTAACTTCGTGATCGATGAAATCTTGAGACGAACGCTGGAGGGTCTCAAAAATCCTGGTGTTCGGATAGCCCGCGAAGAAAACTTTCAATCTGGAATATGCAGATGACATCCTTCAAATGTTCGAAGAGGAGGAGAAGGCGCAGGTGTTTTTGGATGAACTGACCAAAGTCATCCCGTCCTTTGGTATGCACTTTGCACCTACAAAGTGTAAGGTCATGCTTGTGAACGTGCAGTCACTGAACACGCCACTTACAATCCATTTACTGGAAGTCGTGGAGCGTTTTACGTATCTTGGAAGTTGTATTAGTCATGATTGTAGTGTGACAGATGAGGGGAATGCACGAATCTGCAAGGCTCGGG